TAGATTTTGTCCTATATATATATATATATAGGACAAAATCTGATCACATGAGCACACTCAGATTTCAAGTGATGACTTTTCCCTTATAACATTCATGAAAATTTTCAAAATAATTACAGAGCACACTTCAAAAAACCATATGGAAAGTGCAAACGACCAGAAACAAAACAATATAATATCAGAAAAGTAATACCAATAACGACTCGAGCTCGAGCCTCGAATCTTCCATTCTACTAACATCAGTCGCATCAACGACCCATATGACACCATCTGTTCGTTCGAAATAATTTCGCCAATAAGAACGCAAACTTTTTTGCCCTCCAACATCCCACATATTCAATTTCATCCCTTTATACTCCAGTGTCTTAATATTGAAACCTAAAAAAGACATAGATGTATAACACTACAGTTGATTTACTTTAGCACTCATTTATACATAAAACTTCTTATAAATATTTTGCAGTCTAAATTAGTATGGACAGTAGAAACTGTGGTGCTAGAAATTGTGGTGCTAGCAAAATTGTTGGCACCAAAAACATATTTAGTGTGAAACGCGCGAATAATTTTTCTATGGTATAACTGAGACATTCATTTCTCAGCGCACAGATGGAAGAAATTACCTTGAAAACAACGATAAATTAGTCCGTACAATTCAATGCAATACTCATCATGGAATTATATTAGAAAAAACTTTACCGATCAGCAATAATACTCTAAATAACCGCAATTTTCACCATTTCTTGTTGCTTATCAATTACAATGAAGGAAAAATACCACACACCAAATGTTGGCGTTATTTGATCAATATCTTCACCATTCAACCGCTTTAACACAGTTGTTTTACCACCATTATCAAGGCCCAGGATTATTATGCGTACTTCTTTCTCCCTCAATCTCTGTTTCCTCAGAATTTCAAGCAAACCCATCAACTACTTACTCAAGTCCTGACTTTAAAGCGTGTCCAAGATCACTTGTCCTTACGAAAACAAACTCTGAAAAACAATACGCTTTAACTATAAGACTCGAATACCAAATTCACAACCTCCAAAATGACTTTGTTAGAGTACTCGCCCACTTGCAAGGGTATTTCATGAGTGTATAACATGGATGGCAGTAAAATTTATAAACACCACTTCAAATAACAGCAACATATTGAGACAATAATTACTCTACGAACATCATGAAAGAAATTGCAATACCAAAAGTACTTTCACGAACCGAACCCTCACTCACTTAGTGTTAACAAAAATAGCAAGACCATTTAAAGAGAAAGATTTCAGCAAAATGCAATCTCTTAATCAGGATAAACTGACACAAACACCCCTCCCATCGATTATGCAAATCAGTGTCATAACAGCAAAAAAAAACACTGGCATTGAGAACATTTCCGAAAGTTGTGACGTATTAAACCGGGAAACAAGGAAAATATACTACAAAGTCCAGAAAATTATTACCCCAGACTTCTAAAATTCCAACACAATACATGTGATAGACTTTACAAGAAAGTAGTAAACAGATGATATTTCGTCTTCACAGTTTATTGCATTCCAAACAAGCTAACGATCATGATCAAGATTAATTATTGCATCACACAATTGCGAAGCAATAATTATAATAAATGAAAATGAACCCGAACAAAAATTACTACTATCTGTAGACATATCGAATTTGCTACTCAAAAGTCAATACATGTACTCAATTTCACAATAAGCCGACATATTCGCAAATACAATACATGTTTCGCATGCATATTTGTTACTGATGACAGACGAGAATGACCAAAATTTCAATGAGCATTTCCATCCTTTAATTTCTAGCATAAACACGCATCAGTAGTCCAGTAATTAATTGTTTGGTCTGAAAATTAGCGAAAAAACTAAATTAATAATTCAAACGAATGAATGACACCAACAATCTTCTTATATCTATCATGAGAAGTAAGGTAATGAGATCCTTGTATTACACGTACGCACATTAATATCAATAGTAACAGATGATAAATTGCTGGAAATGAAAAAAGATAGTACGATTTTAGTTCCAGATTCATTTCAGCTATTTCCTCCAACACTACTCCGAAAGTAATAAAAAGAAACATAATAAGAAAACAAAAACAACCGCAGATTCCTACTGCATAACACTACAGAAAACGAATCAACGAACCTTGTCCACTCTACTTTCAACACGAGATGATTGAGCTTATATCCATTCAATTTTTGAATTGCAGTTTCTGTCTGATTGCGTTGATCGAATGTGACAAATGCAAATCCTTTTGGCTTATTTGTATGTTTATCCTTTGCTATAAATACCCGACTCACAGCGCCAACCTTACCAAAAAGCGTACGAAGTTCCTATATAAATAAAACTATATCACAAATGGTGAATCAGAAAAAAAACTTCTTCGTAACGCCATCACTTTCTCCTCACTGCCTAAATTTTACTAATGTTCCAACTAAATCAGTCTACATATATACATACATAAATAGATACACCAAACAAATTAATCCCATCACTTCATTAACAAAAATGAAGATAGACAAAGTAATTAGTAAATAATAAAAAATCAAAACCACTGATTAAAAAACCAACCATTTCACCACATTCTTCTGGTAAATTTGTAACCCTACAAGTATTTTCCTCTGATCTTCGTTCAGTACTACAAACAACCGCTGCACGATCGCCTCGCATTCCTGGAGCAACATATTTGCCTGTTCCTGACACACCTGAAGTCGCCTTTGTATCTTTTTCTTTATTTTCCACATCTTCTTCATCTTTCGCATACATCGACTTGTATGGACAATTTACCGACCAATGTTCATCTGACTAAAATATATACTGCTTTGCTATTAATCCATTTTATGCATTCCATACATGACTACTCAAGCCATAATTGTCAATAATTTGAACGACAACACATAACACTAACGCAAACAAAAAGTTTTGTTACTTATTCAGAAAAAAAAAACGATTAATTCGCTTGCTGCCTACAAAAACTTTAAACACACAAACTTTGCAATAACGACAATGTGTGAATGAGCTTCCTGTAGAAGTGGCAACTTTCGTCGATTCCTCACCGACATCCAGTTGCTGCTGAAAATTTAAAACTTATGTGCTACCGTTACCAAATACTTTATTAACCTCCACACACACTACCAATTTGAAAAACAATACTTGCTACTTACTTCTCCCGCTCGATTCCGAACAAACTGCATAACGACTTCTTCGGCAACATATGTTGTTGACACATGCGGTCCAGGACCATCATTTTTGCACTGACCAAATTTCCTCCATTTCTTCCTCCCCGCTATCACTCTAGGTACCTTCTTCGTTACTACTTTAAAAGTAGTTATAATCTGCAACATGCTAAAGTTAACTTAGAGCAGTAAAATAAAAATAACAAATATGCAAGTTTGCAAATATTTATATTTTTACTGCTCTTAAATTTACTACTTCAATCATTCACTACCGAAAATGCAACACTGTGATACGGAAACAAAATGCTCATGCACAGTACTAACCTTATATTTACCACCTTCATCGCTTATTATATCTGTAACAGTTTTGACGCCATCTTTCATGGATTCATGAGTCCCACTTAACGCTTAAATATAATTCATTATAACATGGTTTGTATAATAACTTGAATACATTCTCTACGTTCTTCAATTAATTCTTCAAATTATATATTTGAACAAACATATTACAATAAAAAATATAAATAAAATTACACGGACGACTTCAAATTTGCTTCACCACAATGTAATTTATTGTTTAATACATATTTAAAACTTGTCATTAGCTCCCGAAACATATACAAGCATGCTTTCCTCTTTAATCATTTTCTTTACATCATGAAAGAGTATAGTAACCATGCTATGAAGCAAAAAATTCACGCAACACTTAAATGACTTGACTTACTTTCTTGCTCTACTGCTTCAGCCCAACTACCGATAGCAGAAATGGAACTCCTGAAATAAAACACGAGCATCTACGATCACGTGACAAAAAAATCTTACAGGTCCATAACATACTCCAAAAACTGATATCTACCGAAAAAGTCATACAAACTCAAAATTATGTACGGAATTCATGAAGAATATTCAACAAGTAAATGTACAAAAAGCAGCCATAAAACTTACAAGTTAGGAAGTGGTAAGGAATTGCCAAAAACATTAGTAGTCATTTTTCCTTCAATTATAAAAATAAAAAAAAAACCCTCCTGAAACATGTAACATTGTGAATTACACGTATATCAGTATGTACAGTTATATATAGTGCGATAGGACGCTTTTACGATCAAAAACGATCTTAAAATTAATAGTAGTTTCGTTAAATTAACGCTTGTACACATTAGAAAAGATGAAACATTACAATAATCGAATTTACTACCAAGGTTATGGTAAATAGCTGGGTACGCAGTACATCACCTAAGTTCAAAAAATTGAAAAAGTCGACAACATTTGCATGCATAAACGTGAATAGAAGATCACTGCCAAATTAATTAGATGGGATATTTTTAAATGCAATATGTCTGTAGACATTACAGAAGCCCTAAAAGCAGCATAGTCATTCGACAAATGCGATAGACAGATAGATAAATCGACTGAATGACTGTGTGATAGAATTATTGACTGATTGATAGATACATTGATAGAATAGATGGATACACAACAAATTAGAGTCAACGGCATCTACTTAGCAAGTTAAAATTGACCACCCTTGTAATTTTTGGATACAAAGAGTATGAGACTTGAATGCAGATAATATGTACATCAAGAAAGCCACTGCAAACATTCGCAATATCAAACAAACATGACACTGACCACTTTAACAACGATGGCAACAACGGTCTTATCGGTAGTGACGATTTGCAATAACTAAATACCACATTGTGCGCAGTAGAGTGGGTGGTGTTGCTTGTGAGAGTCATTTTGGCGTGTTTGCGAATTCGCATACGTGGGGAGGTGTTTTGTGGCGATTTCTGAGGGAATATTTGCTAGAAGAAGGAAGGAATTGTTGACTTACCAATAGCAATAGCGCACTTTTCGATAAGAGTAATCGATTCAGTAGCAATGAGCATTATGCAGTTGCAGATTGCAATTACTAATGAAATGAGAAGACCGAAGCGATCTTTCCGTCTCCTTTCTGCTCATCAGAAATCACTGCTTTAAAGTTGTCAGCTAGCTATCAGAGCTTATTTTCAAGTTCATTCGTTCCATCATTATAATCACTTACTTATTATCAGTTATCAGTTATGCTTGCTTATTTGGCTGAATAATAATAATATTAATAATAATAATAATAATCATAATAATAATATCTGAAACATAAAATACGTTCAGAAGACAAAGTGAGTGCTGTCTAGAATTTTGTTTTGCATCAAGCATTATACGAAAGAATTTTATTCATCATATGCTCATACAAAACCTCAGCCGTATTTTTTTGCATTTTTAGAAATGCAAAATAAACGAATAATTGTACGCCTCAGAATCCTTCTTTGAGGACAAGTCAGATTTAAAAGTTTTTGCGAGCTTAAAATCAAATTCAGTGATGTGCAAAGTGAGTAAACTCAGCAAATGCATGCTGCAATCAACGAGAAAGATTCAGATCGCTTTCGCAGAGTCAAGCTTGCTCCATCAGTGCATTCATTCTCATACTACCTAGCACTAATAAGGCAAGTATGTGCTATCAGCAACAAGTATTCCACTCACAAATCTCTCATTTCAATTGCGCAGTAGAAATGTTTTGCTGTTTAGTTGTGTTCGTTGAAGACTGCACAAGAAGGCGTTATTTCAGTGAGATTTTCTGCGAGTTTTGTCCACAGTTTGTCGCGCGTGAAAGCGATTCAATTCATCTCAATACAAAAGTAATGCACTGACAAGTTGGTGCATTGCTTTGTCTTCTAAGAGACATTTGGAATCTATACTCGTAGATAAGCCTTGCAGTGCTCTTCCCTCATCAATTCCCTATCACTCTGCACTGCAGCAAATCTGATTCCTCCTCATTCCATTTCGACATCACAAGTTACTTCAACTACTTCTTGGCTTCATTGCCTTTTCAGCTATCCTTTACCACATCGTCACTTCATCATGCTGCTTTATCATGATTCTCACATCTCATATCACATTCATTTCCGCTTTCTGATCTTCAATTTGTCGTCTAATTTGTTTTGATTTTTACAGAAGAAAATAACTTTTCATTAGCTTATTGCTTGCTTTTAATAGCATATGTTCTTTTATTTGTCAATGATATTATTTGTTTATTTCTGAATGGAGATTCAAATTTGAAGAAAAGTTTCTGCTGTAAATCTTCTGTATTTTTGTAATTAATTATTTATCAAAATATTACATGTAAACAGTAATTTGGATATCTTGTCTCACCATTCATAATGAAAAGCTTGTAACAAATTTTATATTCGGTTTCATGAAACTCTGTGACCAGCTTATTTTCAAAATAAAGCAGTATTACTCCTTTTAATGTGTTACAAATTACTGGTAGTCATTTTAAGTTTTTTTATGAATCTTCTTTTCATGTATAAATTTTTCTTTTTTGATTTTATTTGCCTTTCAATACCTGTTGCACACCTAGAAAGCTTACCAATTAAAAAGCCACAGGTTTGTAGTTTTTTAATTGGTAAGCTTTTTCTTGTCATAATTTTCCACAAAAGTTATCATTACCGTGTGTAAATGTCAGAAGAAAACATATTGTTTCTTTTGATAATTGCTCAAGGTAATGATAACATTCATTGTAAAGATATCTGAATAATGCTTTTTACTATTTTTCTATGCATTTCTTCTCATCGTTTGTTATGGATTCTGCACTTGGTGGTAGTGAAATAGTTTTGAGATTATTCAATTGTGTAAAAAATGCATAAGCGAGTAGGGAACATGCTAAATCCATCTAAGTTTCATTTCGAGTTCGAATTTTACAGTTATATTCTTCTGGTACTGATACCATTCCAGGGAATCGTTTCAAGCTGGGCAGTCTTCCTGAAGGACAAGAGCATTTACGGTATTTATGAAATTCTTTTTTAAAGCAATAAATTGGCAATAAGATGTCAGGCAAAACTTTCATTTTTCGCTACTTTATAAACTGTGAAAAATGTTTAATTAAAAATTTTTATCAACCTTAATTTATGTATTTGTAATAAGTTTTGAGCTTTATAATTAATTTCATTTAAATGTTCGTGAAGTTATTCAAAAATTGAAATAATTCTTGCCTCTATCTGCAGAAAACTCAAAATTTTGCAGCATTGTAGTCAAAATAATAAAAAGTTCCATCCGAGCAAGTGCTTCTCCCAAACATGACCGTTTGCCTGTTCCGAATGGCATGAAATGTTCAATGTTGCGAAAAGTGCCATCAGTGTTCAAAAATCGTGAAGGTTCGAAATTTTCTGCATTTGGATATAATTCTTCATCAAAGTTGATTGCACCAATTTGTGGCATTATTATTGTTCCCTGAAAACAATGTACCTTTCCTTTCACTCCTTCATTGGTATGAGTGTAAGCCCTCATTTTATTCAAGTACCACATTTATGTATTTATTGTTTTATTCTTTACAAATATTTTTCTTACTTTTTTAATCTTGTAACCACATAAGCTTGTATCTTGCGTTGTGGCGTGCGGAATATGCCAGGGTAATATGTTGATTATACGCTGTACTTCACAAATTACAGCTGTTGTTTGATGCATTTCAATACGATCTGACCAGCGGACCATTCTCGTTCCAAGTTGCTAAATATTTATTAATTTTTATCAATCTCTGTTGTGGCAGATACAACAATAATTGAGAATAATGAATGAATGAATCTAGTCTATCGTTAATTGGTAACATCAGTAAGATTAATTTTTCCTTGATAATAAAATTTATCAATAATATTTAGTTTTGTTTGCAATGACATGATGGAACAATGCCTCAGAATATTTAAAGGATGATTTAGTCTATGATAACAACTACATCAGACTTTTTGTGTACTTTTTTTGAACAACAACAACTATTCAACCTTTAATTTGCTATAATCCTCATTACCATCATCAACATAATATTATTTATGGCTTGTAAGTATTGATTACTTTATCAATTTCCTTATGTAAATCTTTTTGAACTTCCTGGTAATGAATAAGATAAATTATTGCCCATCTTAGCGTTGTTACAGTAGTCTCCATACCACCTGTCCATAAATCGCCGGCATTCAATGCTAATGTTATTTTGCTAAAAGTAATGATAGTCATTGGATTTCTGTTTCAAATTTAACACTCAAAAACTTCAAAAATGTATAATAATCGACAAAAAGACTAAAATTCATTGTACAAAAGCAAGAACTGAAATATTAAGAGTTATATATTGCAATGTGAGAGAGATCTTAATTTTTTATAAAAAAAAGAGCATAGGTGAGCAATAAAGCGGAAAATAAGGATACTTGTACTGTGTTCCTTCTCTATACTTAATCAGATTCCTCAAATAAGCATCAATGAAATCGTTCGGTTCGTCATCTTCTCTAAGCGAAGCAGTAATCTTCCTCTCATGCTCGTTAATGTGTTTCAAAAAAAATTTTTGCAATGCAAAACCATTTTTGCAATAACGATAATATGTTGGCAAGAGAAACCTCAGAAATGGATAACGATCCACAAGTAACATTGGAATACTAGCAAACTTAAATAAATTCAAAAATTATTCATTCTTTTTTCTGTGTAACAAATGCTCAATAATACCTAACGATTCAGTTAATAAGCTAATAATTAATTTAAATATGCAAAACTTAAAACTTTCACATCTTTAAGAGTAGAATCGATTAATCGTTTGAATCGCAAAAATTCTTCATCACCGTACTGATAATTCTTCCCAAGTACTAAATCTTGAATAATATTGCCAACACAGAATGCAATTGGTAAATGGAGATTGATCAGTGCTGTTCCCTATCATATCAATGATTAGTGCTGTTTATGAGGATTGCTGATAATATTTGGCCAAGGGAGTTTATATTAGACAAAACTAAAGTTTATTTGACTGTCAAATTAAAGAATAATATATTATCATGACTTTGTTATCTGTATTTTACCAATTTTTATTGTAACGGATAATTCGAAACAAACACGAGCATGCAAGAAGCTAATTTAAAGGTTGTATCAGAATAGCGGATTTAGTTCACTTCTGCTTCAGTCGTTGGTTTTTGTTATAAATTATGTAACTTTTAAGTTACAAAAAATTTTAATTAAAAAACCATTTTTGTATACTTGTTTGATCAGCAGTTACACGAAATTACTCATTAAAATGGAAATTTTAATGAGTAATTTCGTGTAACTGCTGATCAAACATCAGTAGAGGTAATAGAGTAATTCACTTTGTTAGTCTGAACTTGTTGGTAAAGATGTTGAATTAAGGCATCTGTATAGTGTCGAATTCGTTGTTCCATCAGATTTTTACCCATTCCAAAGTCACGAAAAACTTTAAGAGCAAAACGGCGTTGAATACTCCATTTTTCATTTTGTGCTAGAATAATTCCATCACCATCACGGTGATGGTTGCTGAAAATTCCGTAGACGAAGGACATTGGTCGACCGGCAAAAATATTCCCTAAATTTTTTTCAAATCGAAGTCATAATTGCATTGTTTTTCATAATTTTTTAGTTTATTATGCAGTTACTGATAAGTAATTCACTAATGACAGAAGAACTTGCCAGATGATAAGCACTTTCTATTTATCTACCGTGAAGAAAGCATACTTGCTTTGAATTTTGAAGACAATATTTAAATACAAAATAGATACCATCAAAAGAACAGTTTAAATTTAAAAAAATGTTAGGTAGGAGTTTGAAAATCAAACTACTATTTTTATGCTAAGCAGTTCCTCATTCAGTTACTGCTTTTAACGATTTAGATGAGTTTGAAAGTAAAACTTCAATATGAATATACCATGTGTTTTAAAGTACTCCTAATATTTCTATTTTACCTTGACTTACAAATGCTTCGCGTAAAAGGTTATGATCTGCTAATACAATAACTGGCCCCGGAAGCCAAACTGTAAACAGAGGTCCAAATTTTTTCTTCCATTTAATCATCGAACGATGTGGATAGGCTAGATCGATCTAAACCTTGCTCTTACTCAAAACCAGGAAAAGAACTATGATGTAGAATTGAATGAGGATAGTACAAGTTTTATCTTAACACTTCAAGTGCTATCTTTGATTGAAAAATTAAAATATCATTTTTGATCTACTTTTTCTTTCATATATAAGTTTCTTCACCGTTACTTTGCCTTATTTTCACAGTTTTGAATTGATATTCCAGAAGATGTAGTTCGAGTATTTAGAAGATCTAGTGCAGCATTCATGTAAACCATACATAAACTAGTAAATTATTCAAATATGCAAAATTAATGCCAATAAATACCTTAAAAATTTTTTAAAAATGAAGCTGAAGGTATTGGCATGTAAATGTGTTTACTACTAATACCTGCAAAAAGTTTCCAACGAAGGGTAACGGAGTCGGTCCAGGTGGATATTTGTGTCGTAAAACTATGTATTCGTTATAAAGATAGTAAATAAAAGCATGAAATATTAGAATTGCAAGAATTAAATAGAAAGTCATCATAAAATTACAAAAATAATAATTGTAAATTCTGCAAAAAATTTGAAGATACTTGATAAGCCAGATCAAACAGCAAAACAATATAAAATTAGAATTAAATATTTTGAAGGTTTAGACCGTAAAATGAGAAATTATCACTATTATTGCAAAAACGCTCACTTTTTATATTATCTATTTTTGCCCTAATGGATTTTTAATTCTATTACACAAATTACATCTTCCATTTTTATTTATTTTTTGTTAATTTTTAAAAATAACAAAATGCTGAAAAGAAAAGTGAAAACTGAAAGTGGCGCACGGAATTCGCATTCATTTGCACTTTTTGCCTGGCCACTTTGCCTCGCAAACTTGTTTAATTCCTTCCGAAACACTCAATAATAAATAATTAAAAAGTAAATAAATAAACAGACAAAAATCGAGACATTACTAATATGTAAAAGATTGAAAATGATAATAGTAACTTTTTTTAAGGCATTATACTTCAAGTATTTTTGATTTATTTGCTTGACAGTTAGTTATGTCTTTTTTGCGTTATACAACACCTTTTACAAATAACTTAGTTACAATTGCTAATTCAAATCATTCATTCGACTTCTGAATTCTTTCTTGACTTCTTCATCTATTTTGTTATAAAAATCATTAATTTTGCTTGTTCGATCAAAGTCACTCATTTGTGGATTCATTAATACCGCTGAAATCTGCAAAAAAAAAAAAAAAAA